TTTTAAGTGCCTTCCAACCTGAGTGGCTTATCTTCCAGCACTATATCTGACAATATTCTGGTGCTCTTCATCATGTTTCAGTAATCAATAATCTGGTGCTGACAGTGTTCGACTGCTATTTATAAAGTATTCAGTGACTAAATGTTCAGAAGTAGTCCATCTCGCCTTCTTCATCTCTATTCATCTGGAAGCTCAGATGAAACCTTTTCACCATGGGAGACCCTGCTGGTGTTGAAAATATCATTGGCATAGCTTCCAGAATTACAGCAGCACACAAGCCACCACAGTACAACAAACCGACAGACTAGTGGTGGGCCATATCTTCAGTCAGGCAAAGTAATCTTTGCTTTTGAGCACTATAAAGAAGTATTTTGCAGCAGATTTGCCTAATGTAATTCATCATTTGATTCCCTGGGTATTGACTATGAACCCAAGAAAAATGAAAACCTAGACAACTTCAAACTTTTCTCCATTATCATGATTTTGTTTATTGGTCCAGTTGTGAGGGTTTTGTTTTCTTTATGTTGAGGTATGATCAATATTGAAAACTGGAGTCTTTGAACTTCATCAGTAAGTTTCAAGTCTTCTTTACTTTTAGCAAGCAAAGTGTGTCATCTGCATATCACATGTTGTTAATGAGTCTTCCTCCAATCCTGATGCTGAGCTGTTCTTCAGATAGTATAGATCCTCCAGATGATTTACTGAACATACAGATTGAATTAGTATAATGAAAAGGTAAAATCCTGATGAACACCTTTCCTGATTTTAAACCATTCAGTATTCCCTTGTTCTGTTGGAATTACTGGTTCTTGGTCCATGTGCCAATTCTACATGTCAGTTCTAACTAAGTATTTTGGAATTCCTATTCTTCACAATGCTGTCCATAATTTGTTATGATCAACATAGTCTGAGGCCTTTTCATAGTTAAAAAATCAAAAACAAAACAGTGGAACATCTTTCTGGTAGTCTCTGTTTTCAGCCAAGATCCATCTGACGTCAGCAATGATACCCCAACGACAACAACAACAATCTCCTCTTCTGAACCCGCTGGAATTTCTGGCAATTCTCTGTCGATGTACTGCTGCAACCAGTTTTGAATTCTGCAAAATTTTTCCTTGCATGTGATGTTAATGATATTGTTTCATAATTTCCACATCCTATTGGATCACCTTTCTGTGACATGTGATCCACAAATCCACAAATATGATTCTTTTCCAATCTGTTGGCCAGGTAGTTATCTTCTAAATTTCTTAGCATAGATACATAGCACTTCCAGAATCCATTTATTGAAACATTTGACTTGGTACCCATTCATTTATGGAGTCTTGTTTTTTGGCCATTGCCTTCAGTGCAGTTTGGACATCTTCCTTCATTATAATCAGTTCTTAATCATATGCTATCTTTTGATCAATGTTTTTTGGTATGTTGTTGTTAAGTGACGTTGGGCCAATTCAGACTCATAGCGATCCTATATAGGATTTCCAAGGAGTAGCTTGTGTCAGAGGTTCAAACCCACCAGCTGTTCCTTGGAAACCATATACGGGGTAGCTATGAGTTAGAATCAACTCAACGGTACTTAACAAGAGCAACATACCAAAAAGTATTGGTCAGGAGGTAGCATATGATCAATAACCGATGGTACTGAGGCAGATGTCCAAACTGCACTCTGTATTCCTTCCATCTTACCTTGATGTTTCTTGTGTCATCACTCACTGCCATTGAGCCCATTCTCAGTCACAGCAACCCATATAGGGTTTCCGAGACTGCAAATCTTTACAGGAGCAGAAAGTCTCATCTTTCTCCCACCGAGCAACTGGTAGGTTTGAACTTTGCAGTTAGCAGTCCAGTGCTTTTATATTTCAGTATTGCAACTTGAAGCTGGAATTTTTTCTTCAGTTCTTTAAGTTTAAGAAATGCTGAACGCATTCTTTCCTTTCAGTTTTATAACTCTAGACTTTGCACATTGCATTATTATACTTTACTTTGTTTTTCTAAGCCACTCTTTGAAATCTTTGAGTTGAGCTCTTTTTCTTCATCATTTCTTCTTTAGCTACTCTGCATTCAACAAGCAAGTTTCAGAGTATCCATTTTGGTCTTTTCTTTCTTTCCCACCTTTTGTCTTTTTAATTATGTTTTCTTTACTTCATGTATGATATCTTTTATGTCATTCCTCACCTTGTCTAGTTCAGTCATTAGTGTTCGATGCATCAGACTTATTTTTGTACACTATTAACATTAGTTAATAATAGTGTACCAACATTGGTTCACCAAACGAAAAATAAGATATACCATAAGAGGCTAACAGTTGCAGAAATTGTACTGAGGGGTGGGATTGTAAAAAACATATGGGAATCCTCTGTATTTTCTGTTTTTTTGTTTTGTTTTGTTTTGTAATCCTAAAACTGTTTTAAAAATAATCTAAATATTTTAATTAAAATTTAAAAAATAATTCAAGATTATTTTTTAATTTCCAATAACCCCTGTCATTGCCCATGGTAAACCGAGCCCACTAGAGAATGCTGTTGAGCTAGACTCCAATGTCTACATATTGTACAATTCCATTTCTATGGCATTCTTGAAAAGGCAAAACTCGAGGAAGAAAAAACAGATCAGTGGATGCAAGGAGCTCCTGGGCTGGAGTAGGGATGGGCAACAGAGGGGCACAAGAAAACTTCCAGGAGAAAATGGAAATATTCTAAATGCTAATTGTGGTGGGGGGAAGGTCCACATGACTCTATACATTTGTCAAAATTCATTGAACTCTAAGTTTACACTTGGAAAATTTTATCAGGCATAAATTGCACCTCAGTAAAGATGATGTGATTTTTCTTTTGAAAAGAGAGCTAATGAATCTTGAGCTGAAAATTCCATTGTGCAACTGCATTGCAGTAAATCCACAAACTTGAATCTCTTGATCATTCAACCTTCCCAACAGGGAGATTTCCTGCAGATAGCAGCCACTGCAGACAGATACACCAATTCCAGTAGGAAGGAGGTTCTGACGGGGATTTTCAGGCAGAAAGCTTCTATAACTGTTCCAATAAGAAGCTGATTGCCAGGGTTACCTTGGCTTCCTGCCTCCCTTCCAGAATCTTCAGAGGTCATATTGTGTTCTTAGTAGAAACATTCATCTTGAAAATTGCCTCGAGCCAGATTAAATATAACATCACTGTTTTTAACCTATATCTCACATGACATACATGTCTTTATCTTGATATCGTGTTATACTCTGAAGGCCACACCTGTTCAGTGCTGGAAAGATAAATTTTGCTAAAAATTACTAACTAGTATAGCTACCTACCACCTGTCTCAAAAATCTTGGTGTGGGTTAAAACTGAGCTTTTCCAGAAAACAAAATACTCTAGCCTGGAGCCCTGGTAGCACAGTGGATTATGTGATGAGCTGCTAACTGCGAGGTCAACAGTTCAAATCCACTAGTCGCTCTGAGGGAGAAATATGAGGCTTTCTGCTCCCATAAACATTTAAAATGGAGTCCTAGTGTGGCACTGAAGAGTAAACACTGGACTGCTAGTAGCAAGGTCAGCAATTCAGAAACACTATACAGTGTCACTATGAATCAGAACCAACTCAATGGCACTTAGCAACTACACTAGTCTCGTCTATCAGCCCTTCCAGCTTATAGGTTAGCTATCCCCTCCACATTTTCTTATATATTTGGTAATGGTACCTATCTCCCTGATAGGACTGCTGGTGTGATATTGTATGATAAGCACTGGACTGCAAATCATAAGATCAGCAGTTCAAATTCACCAGCTGCTCCTTGGAAATCTTATACAGGGTTACTAGGAGTCAGAATCAACTCGATGGCACTTAACAACCTAATATGGTCCCTTTGCTTCTGGTCTGAATCCTCTTTGGGGATGATCCAAGGCTTCTGACTCATGTTAACAGCTCAATTGGAAAAGGAACATTAGTCTTATAAACTTAGGTTAACATTGAAAATAATAAGATCAGCCATGAAAATTAATAATGACACAAGGCTGTTTCCCCAAAGATTAAGGTGGTTTCGTACAACAAAAGCTGCTAGAAAGAACAGATTTTAAAGGGAAATGAAAACTAAAAAGTCCATCTTGACTTTGGAGGAAGAAGAAGGAGGAGTAACAGATGATGGAAAATGAAAGACAGCATTTCATTCAAAGCACATTTTATTTGCTTGTTGAAATGGTAAGGTGTACAGTATTAAGGAGTCTATCTTGGTGTTATTGTGGATAAGGCATAGGACTGTTAAACACAAGGTTGGCAGTTCAAACACATCAGCCACTCAGTGGGAGAAAGATTAGGCTGTCTACAGCTGTAAAGATTTATAGACTCAGAAACCTTATAGAGGCAGTGGCAGTGGGTGTGGCCCTATAAACAAGGGTAGTGGAACAGACACCATATAACAAAGCACACACCACTACTGGATTAATATATTAGATCACATTGATGCTTTACATCTTGTCCTAAAGTCTCACTTCGTCATAGTTTCCAGGCTTAAATGAAGAAAAAATCATCCTATCTTTAAAAAGTTTTTATTAAACAATTGATACAATTTAATACAAGTATCATATACATCCTAGTGGCTTCATTATATTGTTGTTGTTAAGTGCTGTCAAGTCGATTCTGATCCATAGCAACCCTGTATAGGGTTTCCAAGGAGCAGCTGGTGAGCTTGAACCGCCAACCTTGAAGTTCAAATAGCTTTGCAGTCTGGCGCATTAGCCCACAGAGCCACTTATTTATTATATCACCCAAAATTTCAACATTCATTTAATCACTGCCATTTGATTTTCTTTTAGTCAAAGAATCATATGAGTATAAAAGCTCATGATGAGACAAACACATCAGGGCAAAGATTCTAACTATCTAACTATCTAGTGTGCCAGAACCATGCTCCCAAGCACTACTAACAACTAAGCATACGTCTGAATCTCCTTGCAGCCAAGTAAATACGTGGACAAGACCATTTTTCAGCAAAATTTTATTTCTCTATCAACACTTTACTGTGGTTTCTGATAGAAAATCACATCATAATTCAAAAGGTAACCATCATTATAGACAAAAAGTTTCTTTTCAAAAGGGTGGTAATTAATGCTCTGCACAGTTTCTTGCATCTTATGCATTATAATGCCTAGTTGGCCCTCCTTCCCTGTGTTTGTGTCATAGTAGTAGAAAATCTCTTCTGTTTTGGTGTTCAGAGTACGGGTGGCATACAGAACCCCACATACCATGAAGGCGTTAGAAACAGATGGTTTATACTGCTTGGTCTGCCAAGTATTTAGCACCGTAAGTGTGGTGTCATTGAGTTTACTAATCACCATGTTACCAGTACTGGCTTCAGTTGCATAAATCACCCACAATCCATTCTCATCCACAGCAAAGTCAATATCTTGCCAATTAACATTAGCATATGAAAAACGGTTATTAAAGGTAGCATTTTGGAGAGGGCTCCTCAGAGCCACTGTGTTGGTGGACAAGTTAAGTTTGACAATGTCCCTCGTGTTGTGCCAGTTTATATACATGTTGTTTTTGTAAACCACGGTCCCACTGCCTTGGCCATAAGTAACCCGATTCTCTTTGGCCTGCCTGTACAACAGCAAATCATCCAGCGTATTGTAGATTCTGTAATACTCCAAATACCTCCCATCTGGATTCAAAGGTGCCACCCAATACAGTCCTTTCTCTGGATTCTGAGAAGAGTAATCCCGACCCCAGGCCCCATACTTATAGGAAAACCCTCTCCAGTTGAGCCGAACCACAAAAGGCTTGCTGATGTTCACCACGCCACCGTGATCACATTTCCCTAGACGAAGAAAATAAATAAATAAATAACAAGGCATTCTTAGAGAAAATGAATGACAAGATACAAACCCTTCAGCACCCCAAGAAGCAAAAAAAAAAAAGGTGCTGGGAGTTGATTCTGACTCCTGGCAAACCCTTATGTGCCAGAGTAGAACTGTGGTCTGTAGAATTTTCAATGGCTGATTTTTGAGGAACAGATCACCAGACCTTTCATCCGAGGCACATCTAATAGTCTCCAATCTCCAATCTTTTGGTTAATAGCTGAGGGCATTAACCATTTTGCATCACTCAGGAACTCTTCTGAGAAGACCAGGAATTCATAAATATTTTTCCTGTAAAGGTTCAGTGGCATGTTCTGATGGAGAAGAACTCAAATCTTCTCTTTGTTTCAGTGTGATCTCATGAAACTATCTGCTGTTCCCAATGATTCACTTCCAATCTAGGAATTGAGGGTAATTGAACTACTAAGAGCTATATTAAAAAGATTGGAGGGCTCCAAGTAAGGAAAGGGGGGATTTGGCAAATTTCATATATTACTTTCTATTCAAAAGCATTTTGCAAGTATTCTCTTATTTCATTTTTCTTACAGAGGAATCAACCCAGAACCTTCCCCTGTTTTTATAAGACCAGATTATTGTTGTTAGGTGCCATCGAGTCGGTTCCAACTCATAGCAATCCTATGCACAACAGAATGACATACTTCCTGGTCCTACAGCATCCTCACAATTGTTGTTATGTTTAAACTCATTGCTACTGCCACTGTGTCAATCCATCTCTTTGAGGGTCAGCAATAAAGAAGAAGGCCCCCTATGAAATGGATCAACACAGTGGCGGCAGCAGGGAAACGTATCATGAAGGGACAGATTCACCTAGGCAGTCACCATGCCCATGTCCCTCTGCCCATCCTTGGAACCCCAAGTGCATATCCACACCAGGTACCGACCCTGTTTCAACCCCATTTCAGAAAAGATGTAGCTATGGATTGAATGCAGAACCTCCAAATGTATGTTGGAATTCTAGACCCTATGCCAATGGAGGTAATTCGTTTGAGAATAGACTTATATTTATTATGTTAATGAGGTCTTTTCAGTATAGAGTGTGTCTTAAACCTGACCATTTCTGAGTTATAAAAAGAGAAAATTAGACACACAGGCAAGCTCACACACTAGGGAAGAACGATGCCATGTGAGCATCCTCTACTAACCAAGGATCCCAGGAGCATGAGGGTTAAAAAGCTGAAAAAGCTTAGCCAAGAGAGACTTCAGCCTGAATTTGGACTTTTAGTCTTCCTCTCCTACTGAGAAATTAAGTTTCTGTTCTTTAAAGCTATCCCTGTGTGGTCTTTCTGTTACAGCAACAGTAAGATGTTGTTGCTGCTAAGTGCCGTTGAGTGGCTTCCAACTCATAATGACCCTGTCTGAGGTTCCCAAGGAGAAGCTGGTGAGTTTGAACCACCAACCTTTGGTTATCCTGGAGCACCACACTGGGAGTCCAGCCCGAAGTACTTAGTTGTAAATATAGAAAATCTAAAGACAGGAATGCTTTTCGGATCCTAAAAGATGGCCATAGAATGCTAGGATTTCAGTCATGAGAGGCCAAGGAGCTTACTTTAGGGCAATGGTGCCCATTCGGTATCCATTGTGTGGCATGGTGTGTCCCACTGTACATAACCCATACCTTAGCAGCACCATAGAATAACAGATAATGATTTCATCTTTCCCATTTTAGCACTATCTGCCACAATGCATAGGTACAGCCAACTGGGAGCCTGCTTCACTGGCCCATTGAATCTACATTTCCTGTAACACTTGAGGGAAATGATAGGCTAGGCAAATGGCCCTTCACATCTCTCTCTCTCTCTCTCTCTCTGCAGTGCCTGCCAACACAAACCGTTTATGCGCTATAAAACATAAAAGAGCATTCCTCCAGTATTTTTATAGTAACTATATATGGAGTTGAACACACATTTTGGGGGATCTTAATGAAGATCCTTAAAAAATTGGTGAAGTGGTTTATTGGCTAACAAAGGAACTTCAAAGTCAAGTTTACATGGGGTCATTATCTCTCTTCCTGCTGCTTGGAGCATAGCAGGGACAGGAAGTGGGGAGCAGATAGATCCTGAAGTACTGGGCCTGACTTGAAGTGTTTGGAGAGAATCAGGAAGCCATGGGGAGCTCAGAGTTCCAAAGAACTACCTGAGTTGAAGAGAGGGGAAGAAAAGATTTTGTCTCTGTGTCTGTCTCTGCATGGCATGGAAAGACCCATCTCTTTCCTGGCTAAATGCATTCTTCTCTTTCTGTCTTCTTCACACCAGAGGTAAAACCATGACGAGAAATCCTGCTTTAATTTTTCCAATCTGCTGGGGACTTTTGGGTCCCAGAATTAAATACGTGCTTCTTAAATGCTCTCATAAATCTGCAGTTGGTGGGAAAGCCAGCCAACCATACAACAGGTAGAGAAATGAAACCACTCTGCATCCAACCTCCAATAATTTTGCATATCATTAAGCAGAACACAGTGGCGGGTTTATTTTAATAATGCATGTGCCATTTCATAAATAAAAAAGCAACGTGTGTTCAGCCAAGAGACTGCTCTGCACTAAAGAAATAATAAATAAAATGATAAATTATTATTTCTTCTCCTAAAAGTGATCTCTCAGATGAATGCTAGTTTGCTTTTGTTTATGAAGCAATGCATGAATTATTAAAACAAAGTTAGCTGTGTGTTTTCAGTTTAATGATAACAGAAACTATTCTAGTTTCCAAATGCTGCAAACTAGATTTTCTAGCTAAAATATCTTTCCAAAGACTTATTTATACAAGCATGCTTCACTCTGAGGAAATGAAAGAAAGAAACTTCTTTCCTTTCAGGTTGGAAGACTTTGGAATGGTTTGCTTAATTGAATCTTGCCTTACTGGAAAGGAAATATCCCAAACCAACAGCAGCAAAATATTTATGGAAAACTTATGATGCATGTTACTTATTTAGGCATTACCATGGGATATAGGTAATAAGCTATTCTGTCTCCAAATATGGAAATGCTTAGATACGATGGAGCCAAAATTAACTTCTCTTAACAATTACTATCATTGCTGAAAAAAAATGAAGGCGTGCTAGGAGCGCAATGTTTAAGCACTCAGCTGCTAACTGGAAAGTTGGCAGTTCGAACTCACCAGTCAATCCAAGGGAGAAAAGACCTGGAGACCTGCTTTTATAAAGACAACACCCTCGGAAACCCTATGGGGCAGTTCCTTTCTGTCCCACAGAGGCACTATGAATGGGAATTGACTCAACAGCACACAATTAATAATAATGGCTTCTCATTTCACAAATTGAACAGGAAATTAAAAGTGTACCCAATGTAAATTTGAAGTGTATGAAACATAAATCTCTTTTTTCTCACCTCTCAACTCCTTCTGAACACTCTCCTGTTATTTTATTTATCCCCTGTCTATCCTCTTTTCCCTTTGGGGCATTTTAGGGCCCTGGTTATGGCTAAGTAATGCTGGAGCAAACACGGACACACTCCGCTGTGGAAAGTCTGAATCTACCCAGAGCCAGTTCAGAAGAAAGACTTGACTACTTCTTCTGAAACCCCAGCCACTGAAAACCCTCTGGAGCAGTTCTACAGTGACACACGTGGGACCGTCATGAGTCGAAATTGACCTGATGACAACTAGTATTGGTCAAAAGGAAGCCTGGATAGGGACGGTAACTAATCACTCAGGCTATGGGGTGGCCCTGTGATGGCAGACCAGGGAAAAGCTGCCCACTGCTCGGCGAGCCCAACCCAGGTCTCCATCCACCCTGGGCACTGCTCTCTGCCCTCCCTGTCACACAGAACTTCCCAACCCCTTCCTCCACTTCCAGGTCTTGCTATTGTTGTTGTTAAGGGCCGTTGAGTCAGTTCCGACTCATAGCGACCCTGTGTAGAGTTTCCAAACATTGGCTGGTGGGTTTGAACTGCCAATCTTGTAGTCAGCAGTCAAGTGCTTATCATATATTGCCTCAATAGGAGTTCAACATTCCTATTGTGTCTTACAGACACAATATTCCCTTCCTGACCTAGTTCCCAGTCCAACTTGATGTTGCCACTTGGATTATCACCCATTCATTACCCAGCCATGATCTAAGAATTCTGAAAGACCAATGAACCACTTTGCATTATTTGGTGGCTGACAGAACAGCATAGATCCACTAGGAGCAAAAAAATCCTTTTAGCTACTTCCTGAGCAAAGAAGCAAAGATCATCTGTGTCACTCAGGTCGATGGCTTCTTGGAACATTCTTGTCACCCTAGGAATCAAAGGTACATCCTTCTGCTACAGTATCTATGGAAGGCAGCCTGGTAGAGTAAACATCACCAACTGTGGGATCAGACAAATTCCAGTTCAAATCCTTCATCATTTATTTACTAGCTGTGCAACCTTGAGCAAGTTACTTAACCTCTCTAAACCTCGGTTTCTTCATGTTAAGACAAATAATAATTCCTGCTCTGTAGGGTTATTAGGAAGAATATAGAGACTAAAGAGACAATGGACTCCCTGGATGGTACAAATGGTTAACATAGTTCTTTGCTAAATAAAAGGTTGGAGGTTCAAATTTATCACGAGGTATCTCAGAAGAAAGGCTTGGTAATCTTATTCTGAGAAATCAGCCATTGAAAACTCTGTGGAGCACTGTTCTACTCTGACACACATGGGGTTAGCGTTAACTCAAGGACAACTGATTAGTTATCATCATTACAATATCATGTTATAATTGAGGTTTACGTGACTATCACCCTGTCTGAACTGTGGCTTCTAGAGTTTTCTTTACCCACTCTAGTAACCTCTGCACTAAGAATGGGGCTGCCCACACGGTGGCATCAAATTATATTTATGGAATAAAAGACTAACAACTCTCTTAAACCAGCTCACCCTTACTTATGAAACACCAGCAGTCTACCTGCTATGTGTCTGAAATTGTCAGAGTATTTACTCTACAGAACACAGTGCAAGAAACGCTCTACTCAAGTATAGCCTTGGTTGGAAATCATCATGCAATTCCTTAGATATTGCCACTGGATTCTGAATATATCCTGGGAAGTCATAATTAAAGTGAGATTTAAAAATACTCTGGCAGAGTTGTTGTTGTTGTTGTTGTTGTTAAGTGCCATCGAGTCGGTTCCGACCCATAGCCACCCTGAACAGGGTTTCCGAGGCTGTAAATCTTTACGGGAGCAGAAAGCCTCATCTTTCTCCCACGGAGCAGCTGCTGACCTTGTGGTTCACAGGCCGATTCGTAACCACTACGCTACCAGAGCTCCTTAGTGGTTACAAATTGGGCTGTGAACCGCAAAGTCAGCAGTTCAAAACTACCAGCTCTTCCATGGGAGAAAGATGAGGCTTTCTGCTCCCATAAAGATTTACAGCCTCAGAAACCCTGTACAGAGTCACTATGAGTCGGAACCAACTCCACGGCACATAACCCCCACCACCATCTTGACTTTGTAAAGTATTGTGGTTAATAGCCTTAAATAAACAAAAGACCAATATCCTATGCCTGTAGAGGATAAGTAATTTTAGATCTGTCGCTTGGGCAATTGAACTTTATTTGAGTCAAGAGGAGACTACTCTAGACTTGTGAGAATTAAACAATTAAGATGATCAGAATTATAAAGTTAAGGTCACATTAAATCTGAAGTATGGAATATATACTCCTCAAAATGCTGTTCTTTTCTAATATCAGGATTTTAGTGGGTCATTCTGTGGCTTTAACGTTTCATTCAGTCACCAGCATTTATTAAGCACATACTTGTGTAGTGCTCTGGGTTAATGAGCTGGACTGCAAAGTCGTTTGAACTGCAAGGTCAAGGGTTCAAGCTCACCAGTCACTCCTTGGAAACCCTGTATAGAGTTGCTATGAGTGGGAACCGATTCAATGGCACTTAACAACAACAACAACACCAAATGTGTCAGCACAGCCATCCCCAAGCCAAATGGTGATCAAGGCCTGAGCACCGCCATATTTTTTTGACTATATCCCGTCATTTGGATTCAAGGGAAAATAGAGAGAAGAGAAGAAACCAGTTGTTTTAAGTTTCAAAAAAAAAAAAATTAAAAGCTAATGAGAAGGCCAGTTATTTTATGTTAGAAAGTTGTATGAAATGAAGCAAAAAAGGATACCATTTGCAACAAAAACTAAATAAAACAAAACAAAGCACATTTTACAGAACCCTAAATATTAAGTACTGGTTCTAAGTACAAATGGACCAGAGGTTTAGCAAACATCAGCTGAAAGGGAAGGGTCTAGAGAGCACAGGACTTCACAGCTGAGACTTGCATATAGTCTGTTTTGTTCTGTGCAACTCTGCAGTGAAAAAAAGAAAAGAAAACGCAAACAGGCCAGATTTTCAAGTCCCATAATAGTGAGTAACTTTAATTAAAGTCTCCACAGGCTTGCAACTTGGTGGTGCCTGGGGATTTTCCAATTTTGCATTATCAACCAATCCAAACAGAAAGAGAGCAAGTGAAAGAAATTGATTTAAAAACATGACAAAAAGTCAGTTTAATATCAACATCATAAATATAATATGAACAAAGCTGGCAGAGGGCCAAGAAGCTTGGCAAGGAGTCAGGTACAGCCAAGGTTATGGGAAAGTGAAAGGAAACCTGGGTCCAGTTTGCTACAACACAGTTGGGCTGGGATGGTTCACAGAAGTCTAAATGTGAAGACCCAGGGGAAAGTATTTAGGGGCAGGAAGGGATGGGGCGTGGGGAGTGGGGCAATAAATCTAACAAAATAATCCAACAGATTTATTCGTTCTTTTCCCTGGATTTCAAATCCAATTGCCATTAAGTCAACCGTGACTCATGGTTGAGTGTCAGAGAAGAATTGTACTCCCTAGGATTTATAGGACTTTTAGAAGTTCACCAGGCCTTTCTTCCAAAGCACCTCTATTATTGTTGTTGTTAAGTGCTGTTGAGTCGGTTCCGACCCATAGCGACCCAGTATAGAGTTTCTGAGGCTGTTTCTGCGCCTCATCTTTCTCCTACGGAACCACTGGCAGTTTCAGACTGCTGACCTTGAGGTTAGCAGCCCGATCCGTAACCACAATGCTACCAGAGCTCCTTGGACTCAAACCACCAAACTTTCAGTTAGCAGCCATTTGCACCACTCAGGAACTCCAAGCAGTGTATTTCCTTCTTACTAACATAACTCTGGTAGCGTAGTGGTTACGAATCGGGCTGCGAACCATAAGGTCAGCGGTTCGAAACT